AACCCTGAATCATGGTCATAGAAACAAAAACCAAACTATTTGCAGATGCTAGCAACGTAGAACCTGGATGAGGTTTCTGGCAAGCTCCTGTCACCTGCCATATGCCAGAGGGAAGCTGCAGATATTGTGGCTGTTGGCAGGGAGATGCACAACCAGGAGAGGTAATGCTTCATTCAGCGTGTTCCTCTTGCAGCCCCTGGCAATAGGTTTTCTGCAGTTTCCTACAGAGCTGCAAATAGAAACTAAAGCTCTCTCTGACTCACTGAACCTTTAGAAGGAGACAGGTGATAAAGAACTTGAAAAAGAGCTTGCCCTTTTTTTTTTTTTTTTTTTTTTTTTTTTTTTTTTTTTTAATCTTCAGGGTGAGTTCCCACTGCAGGACAAAGATTTTATTCCAGTTAGGATACAAGATGTCTGTTTCTACTTTCTACTCACAAGTGTAAGGACTAAATTCTTAGTTCAGATTCTATTGTGTTATTCAGTGATATTAAACTGAATTCAGTTTTGTTTTTGAAAGAAGTAGAAAGGAAGAACTCTTAAAACTTTCTTACCACAGCTATTTCTTTCTAAAATTCTGTGGTAATTAAAAGTTCAATTTAGCCTTTTATGACTGAGCTTCTAATTCTTCTCTCAAAGGTCCCTGTGCATAACTTTGCTCTGTATTTATTTAAAATCCTATTCCTCAGGGTATCCAGAGGAGAAGTCCTGGTGAATACCTGAGAGCAGTGTGTCCTCTTGGGATCCTGCCTCTTGTACATCCTAAATATTGTCTTTTGCTCCACCTCTTTAGTAGCATTACTGTTTCATTGCCTAACATGAGAGGTCAAGAAGCAGCCCTGTAATAATTCCACTGATTTGAAAGCAGAAATTTCATTTACATAAGTTTTATATTTCAGTCACTGAAACATGACTGACCTGAAAAAGATGGAAATATTCAGTTTTTCTTTATAATTTGTACACCTTTGTAACTTTTATTTCATTCAGAAACCTCCCTGTTTATTTGTGACTACTAAGTTGTGGTGCCTGGAAATACATACTTTTATCTCTAGATGTTTGCTCATTGTATTGGTGATGCATTTGTACATGCAGTTTGCCCAGCCTGCTGTAAGTTACACAGTGAAATAGGGAAATATCTCATGCATCCATATTGAGATAAATGAACTTGAGATTACAAAACTTGTAGTTTTTTCTTCATATTGAATGAAAAGAAAAAACCATGCAGACAAGTCTGTCCTGCAACTACAGGACTTTCAGAGACAGCACTAGGATTCAAGTAAGTCCTTCTGATCAGATTTGTGTAAAAGTTTGGAAAAAATTGACTTTGGCAGGATGTTCAATATGTAATAGGATCATATAATATTTGAGCTTCTGGAATAGAGCTTTAATGCTCAAAGGTCAAAGTTGTATCCTGTGGGCTTTCTAAATTTCCATATTCATCTGTCTGGTGCATCTATCCAGCACCCCCGATTCTTTGGGCAGATCCTTGATTGCTTTTTGCAGTCAACTGGATCAAAGTCTATGCAGCATGAAACGTGTAGTGCAGTTTATGAATCGTGTCTTCTGTATTACCCATTGGAAATGTATCCCTTCACTTCCACTCGCTGGGAAACAACTTTCCTGGTGCTAGGAGCAATAGCTGAAGGAACAGAAAAGTGTAAAAAAAAGCACAGGCAAGGGCATAGAGAACAGAAATGTTGCTTTGCAGTGTGACATTGTTTCACAGTTATCTATTTTCTCCCTAGTTTGTAGGAGTAGGAGAAACAATATTACACTTAAAAGAAGGATTCTGGGACTTCAAGTGTAGTTTAATTTTTGAGTATGTAACCTAAAAATTCTGTTTTGTACATATGAGGATAAATCGCTATTTCTGCTTCGTTGAACGTGATTTTAGTGGCAGTCTTTTGTCTGACTTCTGGTACTAAGATCTGTCATCATTGCATGTTCATTTTCTGTGACTCTATACAACCCTTTAAACCTACCCTCAGGTTTGTGGAATAATTATGAGCACAAGAAGCCAAAAATATGACTTAAGATTAGCCTTGAAGTCTGCTTCAAACAGCTCTGGCCGGCAGCACTCTTATGGTTTTGGGCTGCCCTGTGCGCAGGCACAGGATCCTTGGTGGACTAGTGTGTGCAGAGCTGCCCATGGCATTTGGAAGAAATAAGATTCAGATTATACAGATTATAAAGTTGTGGTAGGGGAGATCACCTCTATTGTCAAGGCAAGGGCCACCACAGCCTAACTCCTGCTCTGTGCCTTGTGGCTGCAACCAAAGACACCCTGCAGTTTTTCCAATTCCTCCAGCACCAGGAAGCACAAGAGGAGCCTGCACTGGATGGCACAGAACAGTGCATGAGAACAGCTGAGGTTGCTGTGCAAGAGCACGCTGGGGGATGAGTGCCAGTTCAGCTGCTTTGCTGCAGCTCTGCACCTGCACAGAGCAGAGCAGGGCAGCTGCAGACAGGTAGGTTAGTGCAGTAAAAAAATTTAAAAATATGTGCTGCTTGTTATTCAGCTTTTGTGTGGTTTGTACAAAATCTCTTGTGATGCTTCATAACCTCGAGGCATCTTCTGGAGGGGTACAGGTTCCCATGTGGAATGTCAAGTGGTGGTCTGCAAGGAATCAGTGTAATATTGTGAACTGCTTTTCTCTTTGACTAGCTCTTCTCTATTTGACCAGATTAGGAGAAGCAGATGCCATCAGAACAAAAATAACAGAGAAAATTCATGGTAATGGTAAATTATGAGGGTGTTGACACCAAGTATTGGACTGGAAGGTGGGAAGGGACAGAAGAGTCCAAGTCTTCTGGGTTAGAGGGGAATTGGTACCTTGGTCTGAGCCTTCCCAATCTGAGGTCTTATCCTCAGAATGAACTGTATGTTTCTCTTTCCAAAGGAAGGAAGTACAATAATTTCAGTGCTGAGAACCGGTACTACTGGAAATGTTTCCATAATGTTCTTAGGTAAAACAACAGATGCCTAAGCAAAAAAGCAAGTATGGCAGTGCTCCTATTTGTGAAGGTCTGAATAAGTCTGTTCAGCAAAAGCAAAATTTAGAACACATACTCAAACCACCAGTCTGTTTTGTGCTTATGTGCAAAGAACATGCTAAACAGAGAGATGTGACGCCCAAATACTCATTTGCCAGTGGAAAAACAGCCCCAAGTTAATACATGGAAACAGTTGTACATCTCCAATGCTAAATGAGCAGGAAACATAAACAAGACTAAACAAAAATTAGCTTAAAACCTATGATGCCATGGCAATGAAATGACAGTATGAAACACAGAGGTAGCTCTTCAGTATTTTAATTTTATTATATCTGCACCTTCTCAACAGAGGCTTCTCATAGTACCAATTCCACCTTTTGTCAGCAAATGATGAAGCATGATGATCTGTCAAGTCACTGGTAGTAAACTGAACGATAATATTTAAAATACTCCTGTCTCCCTCTTTAAAAAAGAAAAATATTTGATGTTGATAATAGAAAAATCAATATTTCAGGGAGGGGCTGCAAATATGTTTTTTCAGCTGCGGAAATTTCTGCAAAGTTACGTCTTTTCACAGTGACATATTAGGTATGTAAGACTGGTACAAGTCTTGTTTTTCTTTTTCCATTTTTATTAGGGCTGTTCTGGAATATTAAATCTGCATGCAACTACTGCAGACTTTTCCTCCTCACTGATACTTTGTTTTATATGGAATATATTTTTACATCATTTAAAAATATTGCTCTCTACAAAACACTTTTTTATACTCTATTTTTCATTTGCATTCCAAAAAATTGCTGTAGGGTTTTCTTATTCTTAGCAAAAAGAGATAGATCCCCAGATGTATTTCCTTTTGTTTTTCTTTCTTCCTTCCTTCTCCCCTGTGCAAATACTCTTATAAAAGTAGATTTAACAAAAGACCATTCACTATAAAAAACTTCCTCAGCAGTGACATGATACACCACACACCCACTTGTGTAGTCTTTATCAATACCAACAGAAACAGTGTCAAGTGATAAAAATATATGTGATTTAAATCAGCCGTTTTGGGAGTATATTTATTCAAGACCCTTCAAGTGGAGATGAATAGCAGGTTTCTAAATGTGGTGTTATGAGGGTAAGCAAATGAGTCACTATTTGTATTCTAGAGCAATAGAGTTGGGCAAGAACAACACTGCAAGAGGGAGCAAGCAGTCGTATCTAACTGTTTATTCTATTACATTCATCACCACAGGGTGTATCTGTGCATGTGAGGTCAAGGTCAGCGATCCTTGCTCACATGAATCATTCCCAGCACTAATGAAAATCACCCCTGGTGCAGCGTGTTGGAGCACCAACAGCTCTGGCAGAATTCTGGCACTCCTGACTCACTCGTGCGAGCCACAATTCACAGGTGAGGCAGAGTGGTGGCCGTGGGGGATACCTGGGGCTTGGGATGGATGAGAGCCTAACAGGGGCTGTTGGTGGAAGGAGGGCCTTAGGAAGAAGGAGGGTGATTTTTAACTGGAGGACAAAACAGTGCTGCTATGGGCCAGCTATGGCTCCTTTACACCTTGGCTGTTTGAGTGAGTTTCAAAGTCTTTCAAAATGAAATATTAATTAAAATATTACAACTTGGATCTGAATAGGTTTCCAAATAATTAAGTTTTAAAGTTATGATAACAAATCCTAATTATCTTTCTCCACAAGTTTTTTGAAATCAAGGAAACAGAGGTGGAAAATAGTGGCACATGAAGAAGGGTTTATTTTTCTTCTCTCTCCCTCCTCCTCTTTCAATCAGTGCCAATACATTTTCTCTGTATTTCTGTGTCCATATAGAAAGAAGGATACATTTTGTGGAAACGCTGACCAAATACACACACACACACATATATACATAGATGCATGAAAAGAGAAAAATCAACCATAGAATAACTTTTCAGGGCTGCTGCAGTCTCTACTATAATTTGATATGGAAGCAGATTTATTACTAAAATTGCAAACAAAAGTTATGCGCATTTTGTTTCTCGCACTGCAATAATCTTTCTGCAGAAATTTTGGCGGCCCCTCGCCAAAGCCAGAGGGGGGACTCCATGGCCGGAGGAGTGCCCGGGACTCTAGCGAGGAAGAAGAGGGTGCTCCGCGGAGGTGAGGGAGGGAGGCAGGCTGTTGTCTCACCACACATGGTCTTGTGGGAAGTGGGAATCTCAGGTTGAGTTACTCATCGGTATGGAGTCAGGAGTGTGCACAACCAATGATTTTGATGGCAGGAGGTAACGTACACATGTTTTTCAGGGAAGGTGCTGTAGGAGGACTTGCCGGCGGGCAGGAGGAGGTTTGCGCCGAGGGCTGTCATTTCCCAAGCGCGGAATTCTTCTCATCCCAGGAGCCCATCGCCGCCGCCTCCGATGCTCTCGCTCCCTACGGTAGGAGCGGGGGGCTGGCGGCGCACGGACGCGGCCGGGCACGGGGGGCGGGCGCGGTGCCCGGGGCAGCTCCGGTGCCCGGAGAGCGGGGCGGGGGGCGCGGGGCGGCGCTGCCCGGGCTGGGCGCTGCCCGCCCGCGCTGATTGACACCGGCCCGGGCGGAGGCGGGTCCGTGGGGACCGCGCCGCTCCCGCCCGCCGCCGCCGCCGCCGGGCAGCGCGTCCCGCGCTCCGCCGCTGCCCCCGCGCTCTCCCGGCGGGATCGCGGAGCCGCCGCGGCATGGCCGGCGCGCTGGGCAGGGGGGCGGCGAGCTGGCGGATGCGGAGCGCGGCGGGCGGCAGGAAGGAGAAGGCGCCGGGCGCCAAGCCCCAGCCCCGGCACGGTAAGGGGGCGGCCGCGGCGGGGCTCGGCGGGACGGGAGCGCCAGGTCCGCGCGGGGCAGCCGCGAGGCCAACTTGCCTGGGACTTGCAGAGCCCGGCCGGGGCTGGGGGATGCTTTGCTCCTTTCCGCTCCAGCGGGTGCGGAGGGAGAGGCGCTCCCCGCTCCCGAATTCCGCCGAGCTGCGCCTTATGTCTTTTATTTGCCGAGGCGAAAGGAGAGGAACGGTGTTCGCGCGCGTTTTGGCATCTTGCTTTGACAGCGGCTTCTTTGATAATTCTTGCAGAAAGCGTTTCTCATCTGGCAAACGCCAGTGAACCCGAGAAGAGTCCCCGAAATCTCTTTTGGCTTTCACGATCTTAATGCCCGGAAAGCACTGTTGAAAATATTGCCCTGTGTGCTGTTGTCTCCTCCTCCCTTACTTGTTCGGGGAGACAGATGCTCTCTTTGAAGGCTAAACAGCCTTCACAGACAGCTCTCCCAAAATCAGACCCTGACTTTGAAGACATAGAGCGGAGTGGTGTTTCACGAACTACTGAAAGCAGTTGTTGAGGCTCATGACCCTTGTGTGCTAAACACTGAATGCAGTTTGCCCAGAGCCAAAGCTGTCATGTACGGTTTCCTTACTGTGCTGCTTGGCTGTCACCGATCTCTGCTGTGAGGAACAAACCCAACTGTTTGTGGATCTGGTTGCAGAGTCTGGAAATCTCACTAGAATTTGTTCTAGCTGTGTGTTCCCCATTGGGTTTTATATCCACAATTTGGATAAATGGGTTTGCAGGGGTCTCTGACCTAATCCTTCAAGGGTAAAGTAACAGCTTGTGTTTGAGTTCTGCGTCAATTTGCGTTTGTTTGTTGTTGTTTATGTTAGTGCCCAAAGTAACTTTGTGTCTTTTCCTGAGAAGCTAATTTGGCTGAAGGAGTGATTTGTACTCTTTACAAGTCCAGAGGTTGCTGTAGCTCTTTCAGTTATCTTGATTAAAAGAAAAAAGTTGGGATGATTGGGAGCCTGGTACCTCAGGTGTTGGCATTTTAAGAAAATGCTTGCTAAGAAATTAATGCACTCAAATGCAGGTCTGAAATGAAAACAAACTCAGTGTTTCTTCCAGGTGACTGTCACCTGGATGTTTCTGAGCTGGAGTGCTTCTGCAGCAACATCTCCTTTTCCATTTTGCTTCTTTGTGCCCCTTTCACAAGCCAAAAGAGGAAACAGACCAAAAGTTGGAACAAAGATTTTTGTCAGTGGATGTCAAAACCCATCTAAAATAAATTCTGTAGGGAAAAAAGGTGTTGTCCATTTAGAGAAGAAAAGTGGTTGTTTAAAAGTAATTGTAAATATTTGTCCTATTAATTCTGAGTGTAATGCTGGTAGTAGGGACTCACATGTTGATGTTGATGGGATTCTTTTAAGTTGGGTACCTGTTATATGTAGGTATTACACAGTAGCTAGGCACACAGACCAAAATAAAATTCTGGATGCAGTGAATTCAGTGGGAATTTTGCCACTGACCTAAGAAGAGCCAGAATTGAATCCACAGACTGTGTAGTGTGAGGTGTCGGGCCAAACTGAAAACATTTGGCTGATTCAGCGGTGCAATTGTGGCAAAGTTTATAATCCTGCATATGCTGCTATGATTAATGTATTATCATAATAGCTCTAAATTAAATTAGTTAAATTATGGAGTTATAAAATTACTTGGTTCTAATATACCTTAAAAAAAAGGTGTGATATGATCCAGTCTATCAGGATTGCTTCTTATAAATGTTTTCTAAAGTATCATATAATACTGAATTCACGTTTAAGTAGTTACTGCAACAACATAGAACACTGAATTACACTGAAGCCCATGCACTTTGCAGCCTTTCAACTGCCATTTAAAAATAAGCACTCTATTGTATTGCCTTTGCAAAGTGAACTAGACTTAGTCACCAGGTCATTTACTAACCTTTGACAGCTCCAAATGCAAGGTAGAAATGAAATTAGAGTAATCTGCATGTCCTTAATACTGATTGTGTGCTATAGGGAAAGAACTGGGGCGAAAACCAAAGATGTGATATTCCTTTAGTATGCTTACAAAATTTTCAAAGTTACAGAAAGACTCTCTTTTCCAAGAATGAACTTTTAAGTAAATTTCAGCTTTTGTAAGCAGTGTTGATAAATTCATCATACAGGAACTGGAACTTACTTAAAATGTTTCAGCTAAAGCATTAGAGGGGTTATAAGTGAAATACAGCTAAAAGTAAAATTGTGGTATATCAACTGCCAATGATTTTTAACTAACAAAGAGACTGATACGTTGGATTCATTTATACCTGCCTGCATTCAGTTATCAAAGTGAGGTGGGAACTGTTCACAACAGAGCTATGTGAAATACTTTAAAATTTGGGAAATAATGTTTCTTGGGAAGTAGTATTTCTTCCTAATCTCTGTTTTTGCTACAAAACCATTTCAATGGGCCACCGTCCTGCCTTGGTAAAAGGTGTCATAGCTCTATGGATCTCAACAGCACTGTTATGATTGACACCATCTGAAGACCATGCACAATATTTCTGCGTGTGTTTGGATTAAGATATGTTTATTTGGGCATCACTTAAGGATCTAAATTGGCAGGGTGCATATTGAGTTGCAGCTGAGCAAACCTGCCATTTAACTGAGTCAAGTTACAAATATTTTCCAGCTTTGACATTCTTCTCACCTTTTACAGGAGGACTTATGGAGACTTTTTTATACTTTTCTGATATTTAAAAATACAAATATGAAAATGTCCTTGTGATCTCATGTGTAAAGTTCTTGTTTTACAGGATTTTTGGTTTCATACCATGTAAAGCAATATAAAGCAGAGCTAGCATTCCCACCCCATGTGATCTATACAGTAAATGAAGTCTTGTCAAGATTCCAGCAAAAAGTTCAAGATCCTGTTGAGATGATGAATATTAAGAGTCTTGTAAAAAGTCCATTTTAAAATTATTTAATGTTGGGTTATCATTGGCGACTTACCTGTAAAATTTCCAAAGAACTTGAAAACTGACAGCTGCAGCCAGAATTCTATTACAGATTCTCTTTAGGCAGAAGAGATTAAGAAGTTGCATAATGAAAAATATGTACATAAAGAAATATTTTAGTGTACTGCTTGAGAAAACTTTGAAATATTTGTATGAGGAAACCTCCTCCCTTGAGAAGTAGCTATGGAAAGATTGTGACTAAAAGCTATGAAACAGAAATAAATTTTAAATTACTTTGTATCACCAGAAAGAACTTCTGGAGAGAAATCAATGTTTTATATCTCTTTTAAAACTATGTGAAAGTTAGTATAAAAACACTTACCAGGGAAAAATAGTTGGATGTATGTATAGGAGTGTGTTGTCAACACAGGTGCAGTTTTAGACAGAAAACAATTACTTTCAATTTATTTGATTTTCTTTAGAAAGAGCTCACAACATGTGCCATATTTAGACTGGCAAGTGCAAGTCCTCTGTGCCTCAGCCAGCACAATGAAATCAGTTGTTTTTATGCAAATATGTTGAATTATACCCAGGTAGGCTGGATAAATGATTATCAGCTCCAGCAACACAGACCACTCTTTCACCTGAATCTGCTGACTAATTTTAGTCTTCATCTATCTAGAGTTGTCACAGAATAAGACAAAAACTGTTGTTGCCATATCTGTTTGGTGCAATGGAAAGGTTGTAGTGTGGGAAGGGGGGAAGTCAGTGTATCATTGCTGCAGAGACGTGGTCTCTTCCAACTGTGGTGAACTGCTAGGATAAAGAAGAGAGAGGGAAAAAACTCTGCAAAGCTGTTCATAGCTCTCCTCTTGAATGAGCTTAGTTGTATGCACAGTGCAAACATCCAGGTTGCTCCTGGACTGGCCTAATTCTACAGTTAGCAAGGAATGTAATAAGGAAATTAAATTATGCTTGAGCTTTCCACTTTCAGATGTTCTCATCTTTTTACATTTCTTCTTGAAATATTCAAAAACGTGCTTCAGTATTTTCTGTAAGCTTTTCCTTGTCTCTTCCTTCTCTGTCTGTCTCCTGGGAAATAATGTTGTTGGTCGTGTTGAGGTAGTCATAACCAAATCTTCTCTTTTGCTTGAGGCATAGTTCTCTCACCTCACTTTTTACATGTGCCTTATTGTAGCATTTATGAAAGTAAATGTCTGAAATTAATGTAGACTTTTTGTATATATATATATATATATATATATATATATATATATATATATACTTAATATAAAGGAATAGAAGTTTTCTTAAAGCAAGTAAACATCTTTTCTGTGATCAGCTGGAATAATCTGCAGGTGGGTTTTAAATATTGAAACATTTTCCTAGCCTATATGTTCAGAATGTGTGAACATTGATGTTATTTCTGTTTACATCTACTGACACTTTGATGCCTCAGCCACTTTTGGGGTTTCATTAGTAAGGCAGTGTGTTTGCTGTGTAATGCAGACCTTGCTCTGAAGGCAAGACTTTCCAAACAAATGGATGAGTAAGGAAGGGTTTTTGGCCAACTCCAAGAGGGGTTGGTTTACCAAACATATTTTAACTTGATTAGCTTTTCCCTTTTTCCTTTGATGTAAGTGCTAGCTAGCTTTTGCCTCTTTCTGTGGTTGTTTCT